ATTTTAACGCAGATGATACATAGATATACAAAGATACATACATTTACCAAGTTCCCTATCTGTGTTGAAAGTCCAGTAAAGTATTGAGCACAAAGTTATTTGAAATAATCTTCCGTCTCGTTCTCTCAGTTTCCGGAGGCTTGTTGAACCTCTTGAAACCCATTAAAGAGACAATCTAACCTTGAGATTTTTGCTTGAGAACCTTGCAGTATTTAAACAGGTACACATAGAATAAACTCACACATTTAAAACTGTGTGCTCTCCTTCTCTCTGCAGATTCAAAGAACAGCTCTTTGCAACCACTGCAATCTCTCCTCTGTGCCTGCAGGACTGCCCGACAACTTAGAGGAGCTTCAGCTCAACTACAACAACATTCAAACACTACAGAGCAGCTCTCTACTTGGTTACCCCTCACTAAACACCCTGAGCTTAGCTTGTAATCGTTTGGAAAATTTGGAATCAAACACTTTTCAACACTCAAAGTTGTTAAAAAACCTCAATTTAGCAAATAACAATCTTTATGCTGGCTGCCAGGAATCCAGCCACGCGTTAAAGACTCTGCCCGGGCTCAGAGCTCTGGATCTCTCTGAGAATGGGCTCGAGGACGACATGGTGGCCACCCTTCTTCAAAATCTGACATCCCTCGAGTACCTCAATCTTTCTGGAAACTTATTGCAGAGACTGGATGAGACCTCATTTGTGGATCTTCACCAACTCAAGGAACTCGACCTGCAGAAAAACATCATGTACGAGATCGATGGCGCCTTCGACGGCAATCCGATGCTCCAGCGGCTCAACCTGGCCTTCAACTATCTGCCTTGCCTGACAGACTTTCACATGACGCAGCTGGTGGTCCTCAACGCCAGCCACAACTTCATAGAGTGGTTCATCGCCGGACAAGACCTCAACGACACTTTCCAGCTCGAGACACTTGATCTGTCCAACAACAAAATGCTCTTCTTTCCTTTCTTGCCCAACCACAGTCACTTGAGGAATCTTTACCTGTCCCAAAACAGCATTAGCTTCTACGAACACTTGGCAGACAACGGCACGTTCCCGAACTTGACCTCAACCGTTGAGTTCTACAATATGAAGACGTACACGGGCAACGTGACGGCTCAGCTGTGGGAGGAGAGCCTTCACGGTGACATCTCCTCTCTGGAGATTTTGGATCTCAGGGGAAACCAGGTAGACCATTTTCCTAAAGGATTCATCCAGAAAATGCCCGCCCTGTCCAGACTTCACATGTTCACAAACTGTCTGGAAACTTTAAATCTGACGTCGCACCGGTTCTCGGGCAGCTTGTACGAGTTAGACCTCAGCAACAACAGGCTGAACCAGATTGTCGCAGATAGAGGTACGCTGAACGCTCTCGGCAACCTGACGTACCTTAACCTCAGTTTGAACAGCCTGGAGGGGTTACCCTCGGGACTGTTTTCCTCCCTGGCCGGCCTCCGGTCAGTGGATCTCAGTTACAACAACGTTGACATTTGCCATCCTGAGGAAGCTGACCCCTGCACGGACAATAGCTCGACTTGGGCGGATTGGAAAAACGCTGCATCCTTAACGCAGCTCTACCTTAAGGGATGCAACCTTAAAATAATTCCATTGTCTGCGTTCGCTGGTTTGTCTCTAACGCACTTGGAACTGTCTGACAACCCCGGACTCGTCGTCCACCAATCGATACAAAGTCTCAGCAGAACAATACGCCATCTAGGTTTGGGAAACACTCAAATACAAGACTTTGAATTCTCCCATTTGCAAAGTCTTGAGTATTTAAGCATTTCAAGGAACTATCTCACCCATCTCCCCCCTTCACTTCTAAACCTTGACCTGAAAGTGCTGGATTTGAGGGACAACAGACTGCCCACTATTCCGCCTGCTCAGGCCAACGCGTTAGCCTCAAAACTGCACACTGTTTTTCTCACAGGAAATCCGTTCAACTGCTGCCAAACTGAGTGGTTCAGGACATTTGAAACCACAAAGACGATCAACATGGTCGGACGATCAGACATTAAATGTAAAGATCTCAACCAATTGACATACAGAGTGGAGAAATCCCACTCATTCTTTTGTTTGGAGAAAGGTGGGGAATCTTTTATCTGGTATATTCTGCTTTTTGTACCCATGTGTCTTTCTCTTGTGGGCATTTTGATCATTGTTTGGCTCACCTTCAAGCCAAAAATGCTAAAAAAGTCAATCAAAAAGAATTGTTTGATGCCTACTTCTTACTGATACTTTATACACCTGAAACGAAATATGTATGTTGCCGACAAATTAAATTAATTGTAAAACTGTCAAAAATAAGGAAGGAACAATTATGTGATATGTGTTAAAGGGTGGATGTTCAGGTTGTCACAATGCTGTGCTGTCGACGTGCGATAAAAAAAAAAAGGACCCCTTGCCTGATACCGCGGGTGTCGTTTATGTGTGTGTGAGAGCGAACATATGCAGAAGTAGTGTGATGCAAGTTGTTGCTATATGCAGCAGAGGAAACACGAAATTTCCTGTTTTGCTAAGATGTGCAGGAACTGCCCAGTTCACCATCTCAAAGAGGAGGTGTATCAGGTTTCCTTCCCATCGGGGGGAACACAGTTGCAACATAGGCATAACGTTTCAGCGGGTCAGTACAGCTTTCAAAATAAACCTCACAAAGGATCATTCTCCACAGTTGTGTGTCTATCTGTGCCGCTGCTCAGGTGTCGGTGGGCCAGTAGATCGGTGTGCCGCTGTGCACGGTGTAGCAGGCCTAACCAGAAAGTAACCAGAATACCGCTGTGGTAATGCTCAGGGTCATGGTGGTTGGAACATAAAAAAGAGAAACGGGTGTAAAGCTGCATCCAAGCTAAGAAATGCCAGCATTTTTACACAACTTGTATGAGAAAGTCATGCGATGCATAAAGCGAGTCACTTTTCTTCTGCAGAAGTGAGAGGACTAATTCTGATCATGCACATGGGTTCAACTCAGCGCAGCAGCTGATCACAGGTGGATGATCTGTTTTGATATCTTTAACCAAAATAAAATTAATAAGAAATAGGGTGAACAAGGTTTTGTCCTGCAGTTATTTCAAGTAACTGAAACTGGTGTCCAGGCTACTTAAAGCAAAAGTACCACAAACATCTTGCTGGGAGTGTTGGATTTGAGTTTTTCTGTCTCTATAAGTACATTAAGAGTTGGCTTGAAGCAATGCAATGCTGCTGCTGAGTCAGATCCAATTGGGAAATACTTCAATAATTCATCATTTGGGGAAGGCACTATTCCACTCGTCACAGATTGTAGAATAAGGGGAATTTGATATGAATAGTCAGCGATATCACAACAGAAGTTGGAATTAAACATGTCAGCCAAACTTTGAAACATTTCTTTTCCAAATTTATATGGTTATTAAATGTGCTGGGGGGTCGAGTGACCACATTCATATGTACACATCACTTCAGCTTTGTAGTGTGGACAAAGCACAGCAAATTTACAAAGCACACACAAACAACTGTGGGTGTGTGGTCCATACCAGATATTCACCACGATGCTCTAAGCAGTGGCTGACTGAAACACGGCTCAGTTCGTTACAGATTCATGTTAACTCAAAGGAGTAGCATTCTTTTGAGTACCATTCGGGCAGCGGATGGTCATATATATATATATATATATGACACAGCAAACGGGCCTTCTTTGATGCCCCTGTAGTAAATGAAATGTCTGATCCCAAAAGACATCTGGTGGACCTTTAAGGACGCCTGAAACGGATGTCACAAGCAGTTGTCACAAGATCATTTCTCCGTAATGTATATAATAAAATAAGGCCTGATGAAAGAGGAAGTGTCTGTTTTTCATGATCATGATGTTATGACGCTTACTCTACGAAAAGCTTATTTTTAGAGCGAAAGAACCACCTCACGACCTGCTCGCCTCAAATAGTGGATTTCTTGGTCTATACCTTTTATTTAACTTTGGTTTACATTGTTCCTCAAACCCTTCGGAATATTTCTCCCCCGTCGGGCTTTCAGGTTTTACCTTTCAATGGAAACTATTGCTTCTATAGGTCAAAGGTCAGTGGCTATTATCTCTGCCACTAATGGCGGCATGCTGGAAAAAAAATAAAATTGATCGTCCGACGCAAGCTGACGCACAGCTTCTTCGTCAACAGGCAGTTTGCCAAACTTCACTTCCTCTTAACCCTTCCTGCCTGTAGGAGTGAATCATGGCTGCTTTGCACCGGACGCATTGTTTGGCCAGGAAACGCCTCATATCAGTTAACCGCGTGACTGCAACGATCACTGAAAGGGACGACCTCAGCACGACAGGATGAGATCTCGCTGTAGGTTTCATGAAGGTCACTGCACAGAGCCTGAAGAGCAGGGTGCAGTGGGTATCCCAAACATATTTAAGAGACTGGGTCAGCATGAAGAGCCACTGGGAGTTGTGGAAGTCACTGGGGAATGGGTCAGGAGAGAGCAACGGGCTGGAGGGAACCTATTCCTCTTCTCACCACATCCTCTTTCGGCGTGTCAATGCTGAGAATATCTGTTTGGGATCAATTTAAAATGTCTGTTGTTCTTTGGTGAAAAGGGGATTTGTACACAAGCAGGACGAATCAAAAGACGACTATAATCCGGGAGGGTCATACATATCCTTATAAATGGCCTTTATACCTTGGTGGGCACGATTTCCCACCACAGTAGTTACTTCTGTTTATCAACTCATTGGGCCTCTTTAACAGGAACCGTCTCCCAACACGACTGCAGGGCAGTTTGTCCGAGTTAAAAATGAAAGGGCAGCTTCTTTCTTTCAGATCTACGGTAGATTGATGAAGATTTGACTTGCAAGTTCGATACCAAGAACTAAGAGATTAACCTGTAGCAGTATTAAATACGATGTGCTTTTTCGTTCATGAAAACGTTCAGTTCCACTTTCATTATTGCTCTACAGCTTTAGTATGTTAAATATGTGAAACATGTCACTTTCACCGGAAGCTTTCAAAAGGTGTTGCTTCATAGTGTGATTCAAGCTTTCAAAAAGGTGTTTTAATGCGTTTCAATCGGAAGGTCACATGATTCTGCAAAATTCAGATTCTAACAATACTTGCTGTGCCCTCTAGTGGTTCCACCAGGAATAAAGAAACCGCTGTACATGACAACTGTGCATGGACAGAACACATCAACGAACACCTCAACATAGTGACATTCTTATATAACGCATCATATTGTATATTTATTTTACAATTGTATGCCATATTATCAGTTATACACAAAAACAAAAAGCAGCCATGGAATAATATACTTTCATCTCCCCACAATGCAAGAAGGCTTTTTTTTGTTCAATCTGGAATTGAAACACATGTTTAAGGAAAACCGGTCTCAGTAATGTAAAAAAAAAAAAAAAAGTATAGTTTTACTTTAAGGCTTTAAGTCAACACTATATGAACTATTGGCAAAGATGACCAACATGTCACTTACTGTGTATTTATGTACAATACACAAGTCAATAATTTAATCAGAGACAAACAGCTGTCTTCAGGTAAATTAACTTCCAACAGAAATGTGGAAACTCTGGTTTCTAATCGTCAATAACTTAAAACGAAGTGTGAGGATTCGATACTTAGAGAATGGTGCAGCTGCAAACCAGGCAAACGGTTTCGGAGAGGCGGATTCACCTCGATAGGCACTTGACGGCGTCTGGCATGTGAGTTGTTTCAGTCAAATATACCAAAACGAGGGGTTCCACTCGCTGTCCAGTATGGCTCCATGTGCATAAAGCTGACGCACAATACTTGAAAGGATGTTTAAAAACCCTGATTAATTCTTTGGATAACCATAAGAGCCACTTCACCGTAAGATTATCAATTATAAAACAAGATTTAATTATCGCATCACTCTCCAGTGCATTTTTGTTTTTCTGAAAAGTGCCTTCTGCATCGCTACTAGAAAAAACCTGCAGTGAGGGAAGAGAAACAAAACCCTCACATTAAGAGCATTTAGGTCACCATCTGAGATGTATATTGTAAACAAATCTTTTTTGCTTTTTTTTTAACGTTAGTTTGGGAGATGTTGTGGCACATATTGCAGATTGAATGGCATCAAGCACAAATGGAAGCATGTTATAGAAATTACTATTACAGTCGCATACAAAAACACATGAGGGATCGGGGGTCCGTTTCCTTTCTCTCCTTTCAAATGTATTCGACCCAGCTTGTGTCCGAGACTCCTTTTTCATAGAAATACAACTCATTCTAAAATGGCCAAATGGAAGGAAAAGTGAGGCCTGTCCCCTGCAACACAATATAAATAGGAGATCACAGCTGGTTACAGAGGGCTGGGGGGTCTCAGTTAAGCAGCTCCAGATAAGTGATGGGCACTTTGCCCTTCTGGGTGCCGCGCTCGCCCATCAGCCAGTCCGAGTCCATGCCGGGGACGCTGCTGACCACGATCACCTGCGAAGACGGAGGCGCATTAGTAACGGAACCCTGAGGCCAACACAGCAGTGGTTTGCCGAGGCGAGGCGCAGTAAAAGCTCCCGCGTCGTCATCAACTTTACAGTTTTCCGCTCGTCAAAGACACCATGAATTAAATGCTCGGTTGAGAATCCCCATTATTACCAAAGTCAATTTGTCAAAGGCAGACTGGAAGAATGTGCCTTGACGGGAGCGTTCGAAGGCATGAGATCATGCCGGTTCATTGGGAGTCAACCGCTGGCTTGTAACGGGCAGCTCAGCGCTTTTCCAGGGAGCGGCCGAGGTCCCGCTGCTGTACAGGAACTGCTCCCCGAGCTTTGGTTTCAGACTCTGTTCCCATTTTTGGAAGTAAAAAAAAGGATAGATATATGTAAAATATATAATATATCCACCTCATCGGCCAGCAGGGAGAGCTCGCTGCTGCTGGCCGCGTCGTAGTCGTACAGAACTCGGGCTCTGCGGCTGCCGTTGGAGCCGCGCAGTTCGTTGAACCCGCCCGAGGCCGCCGAGCTGCCGTGGCCCGCGGACACACTGGGCAGCGAGGCCGACACGGAGATGGTGGGCACCGAGATGCTGGCGCCGCCCGACACCGACGATTGGTTGTTGTTGGAGAATGTGGAGGGGAAGCTGGTGGCAGGAAGGAGAGGGGATGAAAACTGGCAGCGGAGCGATTAAGTGTTCTGTATGAATTAGATGGTGCTGACTGAGTAAATCCTTTCCAACAGAAAACAGAATGGTTTACTTCAACATGCGCGGCTTTGTTTCGAGAAGGACTTTTTTTTCTCAAACAAAAGACAGTTATTCACACATTCAGAAAGAAATAGGATACATAAAGCAAAGACTAAAGGATTAATAATATTCATTTTGAGCAATTTGGCATATGCCAGGAACGGGTTAGTGTTGTTAGGGAGATGAATAACAAATTTGACCTCAGAAAGGCGGTCTTCCGAGTCACAGCCCTGGTGGGGTAAGCGGCCCAACGCTGGGTGATACCAGTGAGACTAAATGAATTAAAAAGGTCACGGTGGTGTCTGACCTGCCCAGCTGCTTTTGGAGATCCACCATGTACTGGTAGCACTGTGCGTAGTACGTAGTCTGGGCCTCCACAAAGTCATTCAAGCAGCGGAGGTGATGTGCCTGGGGACGAGCAAGCAGAGAGGAATACTGAAGAGAACACCGCAACCTTCACGGCTGTTTAGCAAACAAAGGAGAGTTCAATCCATGTCGTGGCTCAACTACTATTAGCGCTTAAAGAATGATGTAAATCCAACTGTAACAACATATTTTGCCACCTTAATTGTAGCTTTACCGACTTCACACACCAAAATCAGTAATCATGATTTTCTAAGTTGTTTCCAGCAATTACCAGCAGCACTACAACAAAAACCCTAAACGCCATTTGTTTAATGACTAAAGCAGGCGCGCGGGGGAGGGAGACCCCGGGGTGGGGCTACGTACGTGGGTGCTGCTGACGCCCTCGAGCAGCAGCCGGGTGATCTCCGCCTGCCGGTCAAACTCACTCTGAGACATCCGCAGCTCCTGCTCCGCCTGAGGATCAGCGACCAAAAGCAGATTTTTACAGAGCAACATCACCAGTCCTCCTGGGTGGAGACGTGATGGTGATCCAAGGAGAGCAAAATCAGGTCCACTTTTCTTATTTATGGTGGTAATCACAGTGTTTTGCAGACCGAAGAACAGACATGTGGCTTTAAAGTGAGGGTGAATGAACATGCAGACTAACGGACTGATATTCCACTTTTTAAAGTATCTCATCTGTATTGGAGTTGAGTATATCCCTTGTTATGAAACATCAATACAAGCCGAATATGAACATGTGCCACCAGTTAGTCGACAGAAAAGAAAAGCAATACAAAATTAAAACCAACTGTCTACCAAGAGTGAAAATGAAGTCCGTATGTGCGCATAGGACCATGATATGGCTTCAGAGGGACCAGAGACGACAGAGGCCCATCAAGGAAAGGACAATTACACACAATGTTTGTGTCCTGAGGGAAATGTTTCCCTTTCCTCATACTGAGCCAAATCCTTCAATGAGAGTCTTGTGGAACAATGGTTTGTTGAGACTCACTAAAAAGTCCAATAAACACACGGTCTGAAGCTGAGACGGACGGGGACAATGGCCCTACTGTCCCGAAGTCCCCTCAGCTCACACCGGGGGGGCAGGACATCGACAGGGCTCAGCTCTCACAGAGAAAGAAAGCTACGGGCAGCACCAGCTGCCCACACTGTTACCAGGGGTGTGTGTGTGTTCAATTCAAAGATGGATCCAAACATTCCACTCACCTCTGTCATTTCCTCCGCTCACATCTGCTGCTTTGCATTTCGAAAACAGTGACACAGTAGTTAGAGCTACAGCTGCTGAAAGGCCACGGCCAACACAAGATGTCCTCTCACACTGTGTGTGTGTGTGTGTGCGCTTTCACAAACCACACTTTGTAGAGGGTAAGAGGAATGTGACAATGTAGCACACAAGTATTTCATGCCGTAGCTTTCGCACAACCAAACCACCTCGGTGCGATAGGGTGCACCGCCCGCCAAACGGAGACTGACGGAGGCCCTGCGGGGGAGTAACCACCTGATAAGTGTTGAAAGGACACAACTGTTTGATTCTGGGGATTAAACGCTGAGGGGAAAAACCACCCAGACAACCGCTGCTATTTGGGAAAGCTAAACGCTTAAATGATGAGAAGCGCTCGGAATAATTAGGTTGTGAAAACGCCGTGAGGATCACATCTGGGTCTCGTCTAGATGCTTTATTTAAGCATTCATGGGAAATGGTGTCAAAAAGCCACTCTGCTCACTTTCCTCCTGTTGCCAAGTAGCTCGGCTGGGATGTTGCCCGGCCTTTTAATGTCCACCCATTTAGTGATATCAGCAGTTCTATAATACAAGCAGCTTAGTTGTGTATTTGTTGTGTCTTTTCTTACTGGCACAGACATGGAGAGGGGGAATAACAGATACAAAGATTCAAGATATCACGTGAGAACTTTCAAGTGCCAGTTTGAATCAAATATAGGGTCATATTTTGCAACTAAAAATTTAGATGAAGTCTTAATTTTTTTCAAAAGAAAACATCACGCATCATCTTTGATAAGTTCTATATGCATTATACAACCTAAGGCAGCAATCATTGAGTACGTAATAAAAATAATAAAGGTTTATGTTATTAGCAAAGCTAAGTGTGCAAAACAAGAGTCGCTGCTCAGCTGAAGGCAAAAGAAGCATCGCTCTGCAACACCTCAGCTGTGAACTGGTCAGCTGATCACATCATGACAATTCATTTCTGTTCTGCATAAGAACCTTCAGTACGTGGAGCTTTTGGTACACATGGTGCGCCAAGGTAAGGAGGCTAACCATATTTCAGTGTACAGACACATATTTTCTGCTGCTCAGTATAATACTAACTTCACTACTGAGCATCTTTGCCATTGGCACATTTCTTAAAGGGCGAATGCTTCATTTCTCTTCTTCAGGTGGCCCCTGCAAGTCGTGCAGAGCGATGAATTAAGACTAAAACTCAAAAACACTTTCTGCCCTTCTCGACTTGCAGATTCCATACTGGATCTTTTCAGTTGTTATTTATTTGATTTAGTTATTTTTAACCAAGATCTTATAAAGATATCAGACCACAGTGAGTGAGTTCTGGCTGAAAAGCGATGCTGTTTGCAGCACACGCCGTTTCGTTGCATTCCTGAAGCACAAAGCAGTCTTTTACATCCTGAACACACGTCTTTAGTCGCCTCACACCTAGAAGGTCCTGCGTTCGACTCCGCCCAGCGGCCTTTCTGTGTGGAGTCTGCATGTTACATTACAGGTCATTTAGCAGACGCTTTTTTATCCAAAGCGACTTGCATTACACTATAAACCCGTGGCTTTTTTTTTTTTTTTTTCACATTTTTGCCCAGGGAGCAATTAGTGGCACTTGCTCAGGGACACTTCGACATGGAACGACCCGTCATTCCCCCCTGTGTGGCGACCAATCCAGGGTGTACCCCGTCTATCGCCCAAAGTTGGCTGGGATAGACTCCAGCCCCCCCCCCACGACCCCGTGTGCAGGATAAGCGGTTTGACGATGGACGGACAGACACACGTCTTTAGTGATCACAAGTTGCTTTGCCTTCAAACCGTACAAATGTACTGTTTGTTTGTGTTAAAATGTTTATTATTTTGGGGGTTATTCTTTAGACACAAGTGCCTCTTAACAAATGTGAGCAGAAAATAGAAAATAAAACCAGGAGTGAGACGAAGAAGAAGAAGAAGAGACCGTAGCAGGATAATAACTGACCAGAAAAAGGGAAGTCTGACATTTGTATGGCTTCTCATGTGACCGTATGCCACAAGTCACGAGAGATAAAATGATCAGCTTCATGTTGTGTAACTCGCTGTGCCAGTCACAACTTGTGGAACTTCAGACAGATGGGCTGTAGGATACGCCCAAACTGCTTTTCTTCCTTGGATTGGAAATTGCCTCACAACTTTAGAGAACGCGGGATTCACTGACACGGTTCATCAAATCAGTATTAAAATGACCAAAAGGCATCCAGATGCATTGATGGTGTGTGTGTGTGTGTCTACTTACTGCAGCTCTTGCATCAGCCATCCTGGCTTTCTTTAGCTTGGTTTTGGCTGCATCCAAATCCAAACGTTTTACCTGCAGAAGCTTCCTCTCTTTCTGGACACAAAACAAATCAGCAGCCCTCACAAAGTGCAACTGTCGCCACGCTCTTATTGACGGAGGGAGAATCAACATTAGCGTTGGGGTTCTTAATAGCACGGCACATGCGCAGGGTGTTTGGAGGTGCATTGACTAGAAAGGTGTAATGGGGCGAGTAACATTGGCGTCAAACAGGTCGTATGCGGAAGAAAGAAGGGCATCGGAGTGTTCACATCTTTGAGGAGGCCAACGCCACCCACTGCCTGCCGGGTGCTGCTGTAGCTCGAAAAAAAAAGCCTCAACTCAGAGGAACAGGAAGTGGTATGGTTGCATTCACTGAAACTTATGTGCAGCTTTGTTGGGCTGCTAATAGCATTAAGGAGGGATGTTTGCCATTAGCTTAACCTTAGCAAATAGTGAAACTGATTTAAGGCACGCAGACGGCAGTCCAACTCACCAGAATAGTTTTGAAGTCTCCCTCCAAAAAGTTTCTGAAAGGCGTCAGGAAGTTGATGGCGGCGCTTTGGATCAACTCCCGTTCTGCACCACCAATCTGCTTCTCCGTCTCTCCACATTTTATCAGAGCATTTCCTGTTATGGTCAGCGGCACACAAACACAAATTCACTCCCAATATAGCAGCGTGCTGCACAATGAGGCATCGCAGTCTCTACCAAGGCATAAACACATCCGTTTTCGGGAATACTCAGAGGCCTGTGGATCCGTGGCAGAAGAAAGCTACCTCTGCCTCGTGACCAAGCAATGACATCGACCACCGGAGACTGTATGTTTATCATCATAACAATGGAATGGTGCACAAACTGTCAAAAAGACGCTACACTAGACAGAATACTCGTTAATGAGTTATAAAAAATAACTCGCCAGTAAACAGTGCAGGTAATTGATCAAAAATATCTCACGCAGCCCTATTTTCATTTGTTTTATTTAATAAGAAATACTGTGGGGGAGAGTAGGTTGACCAGAACACAGCACGGGTTAAACTAGTCTCAGCGGTTCTCGCTCACCGTACGCGGTGCCGGGACCGAATTCATTCCCCGACTCGATCATGGACTGGCCCAGCAGGTCATGGTTGTTGAGTCGCGTCGGGGCTTTTTTCTCCAGCTTCTCGTACACAAATTCTTCAAGCCGGACATCTGCAGATTGCAACAAGAAAACTCAATTACAAAAAGTCACAAGACTTCAGTGAGGCAGCCAAATGTACACGACAGTTGACTCGAGGACAGAGAGACTGCTTTACTATTTGCAAACCGCGAACAAGAACACGTGAGCACAGTCACAGCAAAAAGAACAATATTTTTTTAAAATATCCAGCTTCTGCACAAGCTGGTGTGTGTGTGTGTGTGTGTGTGTGTGTGAGAACGGAGGAGGATGCACAGCCGAGCTCACAGACCTTCTGTCCACTGAAGTAACTCATGTCAAACACCAGCTCAGGGATGATGGTGGAGCAGGTTTTATAAGGGGACCTTTGACCCCGGGGTGTCAAAGGGGGGTCTTACTTGGGTTGGGCTGTAGTAAGACCTCGGTCTGCTTCATAATCCTCTCCGTCCATTGCTTGGTGTTCTCAGCTCGCACCAGAAGATTCTCCAAGTGAGCGTCCAACTCAGTCTTCTCCGCCTGGCCAAGTTTCTCTTCTGTAAACTGTGAAGAGGAGAAAATTCGTCATTCGAGACACGATGATGGAAACCGGCGACACCCGCGTTGAGAAAGTTGGACGCAAGGAACCGAAGAAACGGACGTTATCTGCGTAGCTGATTAATGTTGTAGTTGATGGCTGTCTGGTGGTTTCTGCGGCCTACTTTTGATGTTGGACAGATGCGGAGTGAAAACCTGTTGGCTCTAATTGAGACTAGGCTGTCTATTATGACTATTTGAAAAACAATTATGCAACTTCTGACAACGTTTAAGGACACAACATGTTCTTTCAGGTGCTACCTAGTTAGCAATATAAAGACAGCAACCAGCGTTAGCTGTTTAGCATGGGAGCTAAACGCTACCTGACTGATTTAAGCAGCCAGCTAGTTAGCAACAACTTCCACAAATTAGACGGTGAAACTTACTTGTACTGCGCGGCTGAGGAATGTACCGGCGTCTGCGGCTAACCGCTTTACGTTAAAATCCATGGCAAAGCCGCAGCAACGCACACTTAAAACAACAGCTAGCTCGTCTCACAGCCCAACTGCCATCCCTGTACGCCGAAGCGACTTTTTTTTTGGGGGGGGGGAGTTCCACCCAGCTGTTGGTTCCTACAAAGATAATGTACGAACAAGATACTTCCCTTCCCCACCCACGAAGACAGCTGACGGGATATATCGCGCATGCGCACTTGGATCACACGACAAAACGAGAAGGTAGAGGTAGAGAGAGAAGGTAGACAGCGGGAAATGTTGTCAATATATTTAAACTACTCAAGATTTAGTCGTTAATAAATGTTGCTGTTGTTTACGCTAGGGAAACATTTTTTTTCTAAATTGTACATATCTTACAAACTTTTGGCAGCGTGATCAAATGTAATACACACATGCTATTTCTAAAAGGGTCGACCAAAGAATTCCCATTCATATTCACACGTTTCATGAAAGCGTGAAAGCAAATAACATGTGTGAACTTCAAGTGAGGCAATTATGGAAGACGGAGAGATTATTTAGATCCTCCATCTAAAACATTGTCCGTTTTATACCGCTATAATACCAGCTCAGTATATACAGGTCATTTGAATGGGGATAATGTTTTGCAACATAATACCAACTACAACCCTCACATCGTTCTTTGGAAATTGTCTCGAGGAAGAGGAAAAAACCCTCTTACGGTCTGGATGTAATTATGCCAGACAGAGCCGGCTACCTGCTGCGTGGGAGGATGTCAGGCAGAGAAATCAAATGACTTCCCCTCAGTCGGCTTCCAACGCACCGTCAGCTACAGCCTTCTTACTCAGCGAAACGATGGCTCCGAGTTTTCCACGACCACAAATATGGTCGGGTTGGGCCTCCACAAATAAAACTGCCGCAGGGTTTCCCCATCACACACGTACACTGGTTTTCTCATTGCACAGATGTCATGTAATACTGGTTTTCACGTGATCTCAGCTAAATCTAAACCTGAAATGCTTCAGATTTGAACAAGTTGGAACTATTGCCTATTTATCATCCAACAGCAAATGGTCTTCAACAGCAGCCCACACAGGGTATTTTTTAAAAATAACCTCACTATGTCAAAGCAATTAAGGCTTTGGCCTTGTTTCATGCTCGGCTAACTTTGAGAACTGTTGGGGCGGTTGTTTTAAACACATGTATTTGGATTTAGCACTTATAAGAAGGCCAAACGACTCCTTTGTGGCAGCAATCGGCTGCAGTCTGGTTGTTCCGGCAGTAAATCTGTGCGTATCTGCTCTTTCACTTCACAATTACAGAACGCACTCAGAGGTAAGACAGGACCAAAACAAGCTGTACCTTCAGTAAAATGAATGGAACAATGCATGCATGTTGGCAACAACCTTTATTTTAGACATTACTTACAATGAGCATCAATAAAGTCCATGAACTCAACAAAACACAAAAACCTTTCACTTATTTACATGATGCAGCTTTGACACGGCGAATGGATTCGAGTTTCACTCAGCACAAGACTTTAGAATGAGACCGTCATGGATCGCAATTTGTCAAAGTACATCTGAAACTTGAGAAAGTCTTGCAGATTTTATTTTCCACACTCACACATAAATACTTGATATGAGATAAAACAACTGCATTTGGGGCAAAATGAAAGCTGAATTACAATTGCAGCTTTTTTTGGACCAACTTTTTAGAAAGCTGCAGCAGCAGAGGATATCTCAGCGTCCTCTTCCTCCAAGACTCCGGGACTCCCTGGAGACCATTCTGAAAACACATCGAGATGACAGCTGAGAGCACATTGCTTTCTCAATATCTGAGTTCGCTGTCACTTTAGTTTACAATTATATTGACAATATATCAAACAATTATATAACAAAAAGCCAGTATCAACACAAAATCCACCATCAAACAGACACGGTTGATGTCTTTTCTTGCTTTCGACTATTTATTTGGCCAAGTTGTACTCTAAGCTGTCACACATTATTTTGCATGTACAGATCAGAGTGTGTATTCAATAACAAAATACAGTTTCCTCACATCACTCTTTGGAAATATGAGCTATAGAGCAAAAGTTTAAAAAAAAAGAAAAGAATGATGCCTCTTTAAAAAACCCATTTCCGAAACCCATTTCTTAGAGTATCAGTGACTAATGACTATTTCATGTGCCTGAGAGCCACACACTCCCCTGCAGTACCTGGGCCCCAAAACAGGCTCCTATGAAGGAGGCTCTGCTGGCGGTGCATCCCCCGCAGCGCATGGTGTCCCTCACTGCTTCATCCAGCTGCTTCAGCTTCAGGACTCCATGGAGCGCTCCCTGGAACGCACCGGGCAAAGCTGGACGCAAACCCAGATTTGCAGATTGGTGCATGGTCAGATCAGCAGTCAAATATCAAGGATCAAGTATTCTTATATTGCCGCTAAGTTACTTCACCAGGCAACAATTTGATTTACTGCTAAAGTGGCCTTCTATGTTTAAAAGACCCGGGGCTTGAACAACCGCACATGCACATTAAGCTTCTCAACCTTTTAGCCCTGTAAAACCCGAGACATCCAACTCAGCAGGGAGCGGAAAATGAAAAAGGGAGGAGAAGGGAGACCATTAGTCAGGAGATCAAAGGCTGGAGGATGCACTGACGCGGAGGGTACGCAAGCCGCGCCGAGTCAACAGACCTGGATCCTGCTGCCGCCAGCCGGGCTTACCTCATGTGTTTGTGAACACAGCAGGTACGAGCTGCTGGGATGTCTTGGCGAGGTTGTCCTTCACCTGGTGGATATGCACTTCAGCAGAGATCCGGGGAGAGAGAGAGAGAGACAGAAACTGTATTGTTTAGTGCTCAAACATCAGGGCCCATTTTGGGCTGCGGCTGCCTATTGTCATAACACACAATATGTATATTTGACATATGGAACCTATTTTACAACACGGTCTGTGTGTCTGGTAGTTTTGACCACTTTTTTCACAAGAGCTCTTTGTTTGTGTGTTGATCTGCCGATCCCTCGCCCTGCTTAAGGGGCGAGCATACGTTCCTTCTTGATACTGATAAATACTCCCTCAAGTAAGCATCCTTTAATGCTGAGCTTGCAGAGTTATGTGCAAAGACTAATTATGGTCTCATGTCTGAGCAACAAGTCATTTAGCTAAATCAAACATTTATTCCCATTTCTTCTGAAAATCATTGCGATGGAAGTTGTTTGAAAACATCCTGTTTATGTGTTTTCTTGCAAAGTGTTAGATGAGGAGGTTTAGACCACTCTAGCGTCTATCCATCAATTAAAATGTGAAGCTAGAATCAAAGGTTTATTAGCTCAGCTTTTCAGAGAGAAACATTTGTCCTAATTATGCGGGTTCAACAAAAGCTCACTAATTACCCCGTCTTATCTTGTTTGCTCAAGCAGTGCTGAATTATTATAAGATCTAAAAAAACAAAACTTTAATTCAAACATATACTTTTAGCTTTGGCGTTAGCCCAACTAACTGTTGCTCCTTCCTTTTTGCTTTTCGTCCAACTCTCTGCAGTGAAGTGAATACGCCCGTTTTGAGACCATTATTACTTTGAAAAGCACCAAAAGCACCAGGACACATGTACTAACCAATGACGGCACGGTCCAGCTCCTGAGGGTTCTGTCTCTTCGGGTCATTCAACTGAGCCAGAACTGCATCCAGAGCATTGGAATCGGACCCGTTGAGGATGTAATGCTCCAAAAACCTTGTAACGTTAGACAGAAAAACAACGGGTGAGTCTCCCTTTACTCCGGTAAACTCTGAGCTGTGCAGCTCGTGTGTGTGACCAACAGTTCATCTTCTTCAGAACCTTCCCTCACCTTGCTGCAGCCAATGTTACAGCCACGCACATGTCATCGTTCTGGGTCACGCGCACGGCTTTCTCCACCTTCTCCAGCATCTCAGGACGCCCGGCGTACATGGCCACCACCGGCGCCAGCTTAGTGACGCCGTCCATCTGACAGTCCGTATCACAGCCTCAAAAAGCAAGTGCACGGACAGAGATTAGCGACACCAAACAAGTTGAGAAGCCAGGGGAGGTTCACACACACTTTTTTCTTTTTCTTACCAGTTTCTTCTTTGCCAGCATCCACATTTCTGATAAAAGCCTTCAGGCTGCTGTTTCTCCATGGACCATCTATGGGGAGGATGGCTTTAGGACCTAACAAATGCAAAAACAGCTATTTATAACCCTCATTATTAGGAAGAATCAGAAAAGCGCGATGAGGAACAAAAACATTTCCTTTTACTTTCTGTCGATGCAGTTTATTTTTCTGTAGGTGGAGCCCTTTTCTTTGTCTACTCAGTCATGACTATTGCTGCCCACGATGGTGACACAGCTCGTTTTAAATGACTGTGAGCCATAAAGCCGTCTACAGTTTACTGCACCAAAAAGTCCACTGTATTTATACGATATAGCGACTGTAAAAGAGCAGAAAAAATGCTAAGCTCTGACCACCAAAAACTGATTTAACGGAATATCTCAGGATGGGAATTCCCCATCAGCTGGTAACTATTTGCGTGTTGTCAGACAGTAACAGAGGCTCTCACATCCATCCAGGCCAGTGAAGTTGATGATGGATACATATAGACATCACATTATTGACGGTTACACAAGAGAAGAGCGAGCCCGGTACCTCCTTTCTCCCTGTATGGATCATTGAGGGGAAGCTCATACACTGTTCCTGGACCGAAGAACTTGTAGATGCGCTTGGTCAAGTCTTCCACGTTAACATCTGCCAACACATGACATATATCTTTGAGAAAACATTTCATTTTAGTTCAATATCAAAATCTTAAAAACTCTGATGACTTAAGGACCAGCTAACAATGCTATCCTGACGGCTTGGCCCTGAGAATGTCGTGCTGCTGCCCGTGTCTGTACCTCCACACCGGCTCAGTGACTCCAGCAGGACGTAGGCCTGGTCTCCGTAGCACGTCTGCTCGCCCGTCGCTCTGCGGTAGAAAGGATTTGCTGACTCCGGGCGAAACTCGGGACAGGGCTCCAGATCAGAGAGAACTTCTTTGAGCGTGTCTGGATTGTAGATCCAGTGCATGGGCTGAGCTGTAAGGGTGTGCAGCACACAGTCACAACGCACACATGCAAAAGAAAGAGAAAAATACTTAGAGCATGTTCTTAACGTGATACCGCCTGTAGGTGACAAACGTCACACGGAAAGGAAAATGAATGCGTGTTGTTTGAATCAAAAGCAGGAAGTTATATTTGGGATTACTTCCTTTGGTGTTTATCATTAAATTGTGTTGAGAATGACGTGGTAGTAACAACAAGGCAAGTTTATTTCAGAAAGATGGGAATTCAAAATACTTTATAATGCAACAAAAGCTTCAAAAAGTAAAAAATGAAATCCCAGCACTAAAAATCTAAAAATCTATTTAAGAACAGCAAATTACATTAAGACTTTGGCTGGTTAAGGTTTAGCATTGCAGCTATGAGCCAGGAAGTGTCCTTTCGTAACATTGAAGTCAGCATAACTTACACAAGTTAGGAAACGGCTGCTTTTTATCAGTGTGTACAGATGTTGCTTATGCTTCTCTGTGAGCCGTAAGAAACAACCAAACAGTATTTGAAACACACCACCAACGAGTGCTGTTAGTAAAAGATAAGGGCGCTGTTAACTCAAGAAATAAACATAGATACATAGATACATCTGTATGTATATTTACATATATACGAAACAATAGGAGCTCTATAAAAAGCATCATAACAGGCAGTGTGAGTATGAAGAAGATTTGGTATGTTATATGTTCTAATTAACTCCCCAGTATCACACGGTTTATCTTACTTGCTGCATCTGCTGCTGCGGCTCCGATAATGGCCCCAATCGCTCTGTCTGCCAAAGTCAAGGCCATCTGCTTTTATTTCAGACACGAGTACAAGATGCACAAGAAATTATGTGAGGATTCCGTCGTTTGTTTAACATATACTTACATTCATTTCCTGACATGAATTTCTTTCATTTGAATTAAAAAAATGCAAATACAGCTCACTATTATTGGAAATGGTCTAATTCAGAAAGTTACTATGATACTTTTACACATTGAGTTTTATTTCAATGTTTTAATTTATAAATGGAACATTAACTATATCCAGTCATTATTTTTAAAAATATATATCTTGACCTTTTTAACCATCGTAACAGAAGTTTCAACGTAAACAGATGGAAACACAGCTTTTGATTTCAAAACATCTGGTAAAAAGTTTAGAGAATTATTATTCTGCATCCAATAATGAACACACTTTGTAAACTGGTTTAGTTATTTTATGAAATGTTAGGAATATTAATGATGGTCTGTTCTCAATGAATACACCAGAAGTCCTTAAAAACCATATGGTGCGTTGTAATGAAGTGCTAGAGTACCTTTAATGTCAATGACATGATCACTGGTTCATCCTTACCTTTGGGTCTCGTCTTCACCTTCCCTCTAACCACTTAAAATGCTAAAAAAAAGCGTCGCCCCCTTGTCAGCTTTCTAACATGGGAGCGTCCCATCAGCGCAGTGATAAGCACGCACCAATGACAACACAAGAAAAAACAGGATGGAGGCCAAAGAGGTGGTAAGATGGAGGTTACAACACTTATGTTTTTATGCATATAAGGTTAGGTATCAATAGAAGAAAGTACGTTTATTTCGTTTATGTGAATTTCTCTTGATCCCAGTGAAGAGATACTTTAAAAACCTTTTAATTTTACCATTTAAAAAGAAACCTTTTGTTGGATAGGAGATGTTTCTGTGCTGTGGTGTTGCTATGCTCAATGTTGGAGGTATTTATGCAACACTGGCTAATTAGGGGGCTTGGCATAATTGTTACTTGCATACAATGTATTATAATTATGTTGACAGCCCGGCTAACAGTGCTGTGAGGATGTCCTTATCGGCCCAGCTATGAAGCTAAATGCTCAGAATGCTAACATGCAATTATAATGTGTTGATGTGTACTAAGTAATGTTTACCATGTTCTTGGTTTAGCATGTTAGCTTGTAAATAATATACAGCTGATGAGAATATTGTGCATGGGTTGCAGGTATTTTTTAACAAAGCCGCTCCATGAGAAAGTAGTGAGAGCTGTAAATATCAACGTCTTGGTGACGTTTGTGGTAAGTGAATGCGATCACGGGGTCATTTGGGTTCATCCTCTGAGAACCAAGACAGTACATCAAGTGGTTGATGTGTTAAACGTGTTATTTAAAGAAAACGTTGACCTGTTGAAGGATCACCATAGTCAGAGTCACACTCCGGGGACCATGTATGTCTGTAGAAAATGTCACACCTGTTAATCTGATAATTCTTAGGATATTTTAGTTAATTTAATCAAAAATAAGAGAATGAGAAAACAAAACGTGCCACTAAGCTTTTTGTTGCATCTTGATACAAAGCTCTGCTCTGGAAAGCCTTACAGGCCCTCTTCACACATAACACTGGGCCACATGGACTATTTCTGGGCTTGACCCTGTGACTAAACTGTGATTGTTTTAATTAAAACATTAATGTACTATTTCGAATCCGTCAGCTCAATTAAAAGTTAATTTGCACTTGACGAACTCTACTGTGATGCCGGAGGGCAATTTACTACATGTTAGAATTGCTTTCAAACGGTCTCTTTGTCATTTGAATTCGTCATGCTGTCTCTCCGTCGCTTCCACTCCATCGCGTCCATCCTGACGGCTCCACAGCTGATCCCCGTGTTCCAGCGCTGGCCAGGTTCCACTTATCCCTCGCCTCTCATGGGTATCCCAGGCCATTGATTTCGCTGTTGGCCTCCTAAACCGGCAGAATAGAGTGCTAAGAGTAGGGTCAGGTAATCAATAGCAGTTGCACAATAATGAACAAAAGGGGGTCTTCAGTGATACTTCTGTGTTATGGCTGTGACTGTCATCTGGAAAACATATGAAGGTACTTAATGTTGAACATTTCTACCAAAATCATACTCATTGCATACTTATTTAAATTCCACATGAAACAGGAGGAAAAAAGAAAGAGAGGAGTAGGAGAGCAGCATGCCAGACGAATATGATACACGTTACATTCTAATGCATGTAAATGCATTAACGTTCACTTACAGCTGAGGGATTCATTTTAACAGTCTGGGGGAAGTAAATTTGCATTTGCTTTCTCTGGCAGGGAGATAATATGCCCTTCACAGAGGGTATAAAAGAGCTGCACAAATAGATCGGCAACTGTCATCAGATCAAGTGACCAGCACGGTGAAGCTCTATAAACGAAAGCCTGGTAGAATTTGATAGATATTGATGGAGTGCATGCGATGTGGCAGTGCTGCATGTTTGGGGAGCTGCTGACCTTTGGGTGCTATGATCATCTAACAGGACAGTAGGGAGTGGATTTTATCTGTTATTTGATGCCAAAACCTGCAAAGCAACAACAGAGAGTGCACATGTAGCTTGTGCATGCACTGAAACACTTTTATGTACCCCTTTATGTTTGCTGGTCTTCAGTTGTTGTTGTTTAGGAGTGGGAGTCTTTTCCTTATTTAGGCTAATTGGTCAAGTAACGTGTCTACGGCAATGTTCTGTGAGAGGGTGATGCTTTTGTGCTGCATGCTAACATTAGCATGCTAACATTCTCACTATGAATAGCATGCTCATGCTCAGCAGGTAGCTTGTAATATGGACCATAATCCTTTGCAAGCATTCCACAATACTAGCGTTAGCTAATTAGCGCTGAATACAAAGTACCGCTGAGGCTGATGGGACTGTCATGAGGTTTACAGGTCTTCGGTCCTAAAACAAAGTATTGGAAACATTTTAACTGATGAAAAGTCAGGGTTATTATAAGGATTCCTCCTCTGTGTTAAATGTCATTTTTTTGGTATCTGAACACAAAAGGTACTCCGACCAAGTATAATTTTGTGACTAATTGGAAATGGATTTGTAATGGATAAACCATCCCAGACACCAAAATGTAAACCCATTGGTGGCAGGTCTTTTAACCAATTTCTGAAAATGAGTCAAGATTGACTGGATGTTTTGCTCAGGACGCCAATTACCTAAAAAACACAGTTCAAAATGTTTCGCCAAGCTTCAGTGCTGTAGGGATGAAACAGAGCTGCTGGCTGTAGACTCTTATATCCAATTTATACACTTGCCTTTATCTGATGTATTTTAAGGAAATCCTTTTACTGATATCCTGCATTGGATACCCTCTTATCATATTGCCATCAACTTTAATGTTTTTTTTAATCTCTCATTTGATGTGTTGTGATGGTGAGAGGAAAAAAAAGTCCTGGCAATCAGATTAAATCTGCCATATGTGTCCAGACATAATCACGCTGTTTCTTGGAAGCCCAGGCGGTTAGTCATTACCTTCTGGTTCTGGTCATATTCCCAGTGAAATAACCCAGAAATAGCCAAGTCGTTCATCTGTGCATAAATTGCAAATTTAAAGCAACAACAACATGTTTTGATACGAATGCAGAGGTGCCACAAAACATCACACACGTGCAATTTTTAAGAGAACTGTGAGCATTGAAATTTCCCAGATGTCTGATTGTGTTACACGTATGTGTTCCTCCCCTCACCCCTGCGCAGCATTAATCAGTGGAATGCTATAATTGCCTGGCTGCATGGCGGTCCCTCTCTGCTGCAACGGGAGAAGGGTGCCGAGTGGAATGCCAGCATCCAGGCCGCTCGCCACCTCTCCCGTCATCTGCGCCACGCCGGCCACGGCATCCAGTTCACGGGCCAAAAGGAAGACAAAGCGGATGTTCAGCTGCACAAACTCCCTCCGCTCCAGATCTGATGATTTGATTTAAATAACATTGTGTGAGATTTGACATTTCCCGAAATTCATCCAAATCATCTGCAAAAGTATGAAGAGAAGAAGATGAGATGACAACGTTGCAGGAGTGTTTTCTATCTGCAAATGCTGGGGACTAATCTTCACAGCATCGGTTGCACAGGCCTGTGTTTAGTCTCTGAATGTAAATGTACTACGATGCATCTGCATACATTCTTCCTCTACTACGTAGCACCCTTTTTCTCTGGAAGGGTCCTTCCTCCTTCTAAGGGAAATCGACTAACCCGTCTTCTTATCTTCCATCGTTTCTGCACATACCATAAGAGCAGCCTCATGTGGCGCTGTTGATGGGATTACCAGCACACCCTGCGCCGTGTTGAGGATTGGGTTCTCACATATTGGATTTGTCATCCTCTCACATTCCTATCTTTGTTATGCAATGCATACATGTTTTAAAATAATTTAGAATGCTGGATTTGTCACGTGCCGATCTATTGTTCTGCTGCTTCAATCCCCTTTTGTACAACCCGATTAGATGTTTCTCTCTTTAATCCTGTCTACTTCACAGTATTTATGCAGTTTATCACGTTTTGTTGTGATTGTCCAACAGGGATCGGTAAAAACAATCTCAATTGTGTTGAGTGATGCACTCTCACTGTGCAGCCACTGACAGTTATTGTACTGTTTCATATTCTTGGCACAAACTACAAGGCTACATAACATGGAATTTAGTGAAGATGGAGCAAAGACAGCTAATGCACGTTGTAATGACCCAACGTCCTTTCTATTCTTGTTAACGAGCAATTAAAAACATTTAATTTGATGCGCATGAATGGAGCAGAAGGCGTACAGCATTATCTCACACAGGCAACACAAGATAGACCCAGCTTCACTTAGACCAGGGGTTTTCAACCAGTTTCCCAAAACTGATGGCGGGATGAAGCAGGGGCCCCCTATTCTACAGAGTTTGGTCCGTCATCTTTTATTTTGGAGCTTCGCGCTTTTTAGACGTGAGCATAGACGCGATTTGATTGGCTGGTGTGCTGTCGTATCGGCATGGAAGGTGCTGTGAGTGAACCGGTGCCCAGCTTGAGAGAGCTGCTGTGGGAAGATGAATGTGTGTGTGTGTTGTGGATTCTGAAGACATTTAAATTAGTGGGGAAAAAATTGGTTGAAAAAAAAGTTCTCATCAGCAACCAAAAATGCAGTACCTCCGCGGACCCCCTGGGGGTCGCGGACCCCCTGTTGAAGACCTCTGACTTAGAGCATATATTGGCTCAGTCATGCCAATAATGCTGGCTTCTCAGTGAGATGATTAGCGGGGTAATGCATTTTCTTGATGGTTAAGTTAGATATATTAATTCTTTGGGGGAAACGTATGTTTTAACACATAATTGCCTTCTTCGACATACGTTTCTGCAGCCCTTTTATGAAAATACTGTTGTTACAAAAAAAAAAAGTTTTTCATGTGATGTATGGCTCAACCTCTCACTTAACGCAATACAAAGACTGCTATTGAACTATACATTACTTTCAACTCACTTCATGATGCCTTATGTCACGCAAAGACTTTCGATGGCTTTATGAGTCATTAACTGTTTTTTTGGAATCCATAACAGGTTCTGTATACGGGATGGACTCATTTGGTTTGTTCAATCATTAATTGGAATAGTCCTAAGTCCTAACATTATACTCCCTGTGCAGCCGGATTGATTTGCATATACAGCCAACCCCTCTGACATGATGCTTGATTATAAAGGCTGCAAACTTTTGCATGTTTGTTGATATCATTTGAGAAATGCATGTTTTTTTTTATTGTAGGGTTTACTTATTATTTCATATATGACTGTCATTTCAGATAGCACACAACAAGTCTCTGTGTGGCAAGCGGAAGAAGTGGAGAACAGGGTGAGGGGGGAGGGAGGAGAGACATTTAGACCAATTCAGAGAGAGAGAGAGAGAAAGAGGGAGGGCGAGAGAGAGAGTGTGTGCATGTGTGAGTGAGAGATCGAGAGAGGAAGAGTGCAGGCAGAGCTCCATCCACAGCCGCGGCACACCGGACTGTCATCCTCCGCTCTGCTCCCCTTTTTCATCGGGTCCTACAGTTGGCGGAAGCGGCATGGAGGCGATTTGAGACGCACCGCCGAGCCGCCAGCAGTTCCACTTGCTTCAAAAGAAGCGACTCCCTTGACGCGCGTCCGGCTGAAGTCAGAATAATGATGGAGTACTGGAGGCAATGCGCGCTGTGGTTAATAAACTGCAAGGTGCTTCCCGCTAACCACCGGGTTACGTGGGAGTCCGCACAGGTATTCGACTTGGCCCAGACCCTGCGGGATGGAGTCCTCCTCTGCCACCTGCTCAACAACCTGAGACCCCAATCCATCAACCTCAAGGAGATCAACCTCCGACCGCAGATGTCACAGGTAAAGGAGCGAAAGGCGAAGGAAACGTCTGATCCGAAAGAGCGCAACCAGACGTCGGCAACCACGGCGCTTGTTTAACGTTCTTTGGCATACCGGCACAATTAACATCCGTATTATGTCTATAATTTAGAAGATTCCAAATCACAGCAGTTGTGTATGAAATTCGGCATAATCAAATACACAAGTTAGCTCATGGTTTTTGGAATATGTAAACTTTTAAAAGATTTGGTTGCCGCTTGTTTACGCCCCCAGTGGATGTTGATGGTCGCGGAAAACGGTAGGAATAAATCAATAATATACATTTATAGGATATTCGCTCTAGTTCGTGATAGGATATAGCCGAAGATTAAAGGCGATCCCTGCCGCTGTGACTAGCCCATTATTGTTACTTTATTACGTGAAGATTTCATACAGTCAGCAAATAATCAATATTAATAATTGACAATGACTTAATGGGAATTTTGTGGCCAGCTATCGAGGCATATTTTACTTCATACTAAGAGCGAAACAGACTTCCTTACATCACTGTTACCAGTTTAAGTTTATTGTAGTAATTCATAGTGATCAACAGTCTTCCCTAAGAGACCAGTGTTAACTATCCCAAACAGGGAAGTGGTGGTCATTTATGTCAAAGGATTATCAACAAATAAATAATCAGATATCTTACAATAACACATTTTAATTATAAGAGGGCAATATTGGGTTGAAATGTAATTATGATCCCCTGATAGATACGCATATATATATAAGGGAATTTGGTGGCTAAATTTGAAACATCTATATAGAAAGAGCCGTGGCCACAAGGCTCTCCTGTTTGTCCGATAGGCCATCTGTTTCAATAACAGGGACGGGGCAGCCGGTGTGCAGCTATGAGCAGATTAATATTCGCCTTCATAACCGCGAATATGTGTGTCTGGCTCGGTGTCAGCACAGAGTGAGGTAGACATTCACATACTGAGCCTGCAGACCTGCTCCGTAAAAATGAGACCGTACCAGTAACACACAGACAGACACCAAGATTGTATTGATGCTACGATGCTCTCCTCCGAACATTTATTAACTATATAACTATGTAACTATTGATGTAATGCACAACCAATGGGGAGTAAGGGATCAGGTTTCAGTGCAATTACACAAAAAAACACGATTTTAACGTCATCAATGGCAATGCAAATCAACCATCAAAGGATCTTTTTACTCGTAGATCTCAAAGGGAACTCGATTGGGACTGGAAGACGAGAAGGCCGATTGGTCCATTTACTGTTTGAAGTCATGCTAGCAGCAATACAATTACCGATTGAGTGTAATCAATGGGTCAGCGTTTGCTGTCAGTCATGACATAATAACATGGAATGGCGCTGCCAAGCATAAGAGAGGTTGTGAACCATTATTACGCTCAGTGCCCGGCCCGGCCCACAGTAGACAGGGTTATTTATAGACAGAGTTTGTATGCATGGCTGGATGGCTTACTCACACGACGCAGCTACCGTCAAGGGTTAAATTAGCATGAGCAGGCTCAGGCGGTCCCGTATACTTACGAAGCACTTGTGCAAGTTCACCTGTGTCAGGCTGGGTCACACAGTGTTTCTAAACCACGTTTCCCCCCCGGGGGGGGGAGGTTTCTCGGAAAGTCCTGGTCTCTTTGCCAGATCGATTATGGTTATTAGAAACACCAACCGCTGTAGTTACTCTTCTTTTACAGGGAACAACCCTACCAGACGCCGCTGTTGTAACAAATAGTGGCAAAATGTGCACATACATCCATGCAAAATGTACATCTGTAAACATACAATATTACTCATTGGTTCTAGTGCTTTGCTATATCATATGTACATCAGCAGATCACAGTGTTGAAAAAGTGTGCAATACCTTTTTTATTTAAAAAAAAAAAAAAAAATGTTTTTGTTAGATTCCCTTGCAATATGCGTGAACATGTCAGCGTGGTCCTCGCAGCAGCGGACCGACAACCCCCCCCCCCCCTACTGAAGTTGTAAACCCTGGGGAAACACCATACCACACCATGGATACCAACTCTTTGTACCCCTCCTTCAGCAACTTTACACCCCCCGTCTCCTAAAAGTTACATTTACATAACTAAGGGCGGAGTCGCTTCCCTTTCACCTTGCATAATTCATGAGGGCTGTGGCAGCTACTTTGTCATTGGCCGATGAGAACACATGGGACGCCGCTGTGGACTCACCCATGGGACCCGCGCGATGGTGAGACAAAGGCAGTGAAGGGACAGAGCTACAAAGCGTCTGCTTGCCCTCCGCAGACGCATCTCAGAGGAGATGAAGCGCCCTGAAGGCCCAGCCCACCGTGCGCGGTGGAGGCCGCGTAATTAAGGCCCAATGCTCTGGAGGGTTCACACGTGTGATGTTGGCATCAAGACAGGCGGCTTCTCATTCATTTTAACGGTGTTTTGGAGAGATTTTAACGGGCTGTATACAGTAGGGAGTCACTTCTGTTCAGGTCGGCGGAATAAAGAGCCAGACAGCAGAAGTGAAATTAGGGTGTTGTCGCCACTAGTCTATTTACTCTTGTGGTAAAACATGAAGGACGCCACGTGTGCTCTGTGCAAAAAACGTTTGGAACAAAGAGCTAAAGGTTCCGGTTGAGGGTTTTTAAGGTGAGTGTAAAGCAAAATGTTGAACCTCTTTGACGGCGAGTTTTAGCAGCGTTGTAATCATTACACAGTCAAGACACAGTCTGACCACCGCAATATACATGTGTGTCTATGACTATACACAAGAAAGAAACACACTTAGTAGATGCATTTTTTCTCTCTGTGAAAATCAGCGGTTTTCGCCGTTATGAGGAACCATGCAATACCTGTCGTTGCATAAAATGTGATCTTACATTGAGCATGCAGAATCTCCATTGTTCTGGTTCTTGACGCATTTGGGTTTAAAGTTCTGCTGAATCTAATTTTTTTACAGAGAGCACCGCAAATACAACCCATTCCAAACACTGCTTGTCTAAAACGGTATCAAAGACTTTAACCTCCTTTTGAGCGTATTTTATTCTGTCATAATGCTGCTAGCTAAGGCGCGTGCTAAAAATAAACTAGCTCACAGGCTTGGCACAATGAGCCATCCGTTCTGTTCGCACAAAACACAAACAAAACACTAAACTGAGCACGTGTGGTTTGATTGAAATTTAAATCTGGAAATTTGCACCCAACTCGTTAATCCTACTGTTGCCTTGTTCTCCATCACACAGGATTTTAGGCGGCTGCTGTTGCTCTCACACAGACCTCACTTAGGCCGTGAGCCTCGACATGCACATGAATTGAGGAAATGGAAAAGAGGAAGGAAGTAGAACTAAACATGCCCTCGATCAAGCGCAGACCAAAGCGCTGCACTCATGTCAGAAACAATGAAGAGAAAAGCTGCCGCGCTCTTCACGCTGCAAAACAAAAACCTTTTTCTCTTCATTGAGCCGCCATCAAAGAAAGTGAAAGTGAAGGAAAGTCTAATTATAACGAGCATCAAGCTCAGAAAGTTTTGCGCCAAAAGAGGAGAGTTGAAGGCTTCGTTGATTTTCTGCATATTCAAAAACAACATAGAGCTGCAATGAAGACTTAATTAACCACTTATGAATTAATTATCAGTTCATTCTGGTGGTGTACAGATCCAGTAATGTTTGACTGGCGGGTATGAATTACACACTTGGAAAGCCGCTGATACATGATACATATGATGGATTTATTAGAGAATATTTTCAACCACATGAATGAAAAATCGGCTGAATGACGACTGCTCGATAAATAGAAGAGTTGATTTGCGTTTACGGGTTTTATTCTGACAGGTGTGCTGCAGGTGAGTCGTATGAAATTGGTAAACCGGTCTGATTTAGACTTTTTTCTAATTCCATTTGCACGGACAACAATATTGTACGTTAGAGATGGTACATACGGGTATGTATATTTTATCAGGCCCGGATCCAAATTCTGTGACGTCGAACAATGAGGAGAAATGCCGGCTTCACACACACACACACACACACAGACACGCCGTGCAGCCTGCTTCAAAGGCTCCGCAGCTCTCTCTTCACTGGCAGAGACAAAAGTTAGCGAGAGATAGAGAGCGTGGGAGAATGAGAAAGACAGAGAAAGAAATGTCTTGATTTTCCTTTGGTCTGCGCAGAATAACATCCCTCACGTGGGCTCGACATAACAGATTGAGATTCTGTGTAAAAACATTGAATAACACAAAAAAAAACCGTGCAATTTAGTGGGTTAGACTTCAGATTAGGCAATAACGTGTAATTAGAGAGATTAGAGAAGGCTATTTCGGGATTGTCATGGCAACAGAAATTTAAGGTGGTCGGTAGAAAATCAGAAAAGAGGTCATAGATAAGTGAGGTGTAATCACATGAGGCGTTAAAAGAGGTTGATAATACTTTGTGGATGTCTGCATGTGAGTGTGTGTACGCATATAATCCGTATCAGCGCTCTTGGATGAGATCCACCGTACGTTATCTCTGTATCAATAGTTGCAGCTCCCAGCCTCCACTTTGTGTCTGAATAGCAGTTAGTCCATAACGCAAATCAGTGCTTTTCTGTGATTTGTTCTGCAGTGGAGCCTAATTCATATTTGAAATGTTCCTTTTTTTGTGGCAATGACAAACCACAGCGCAACACGTGAAGCCTTTAGTGTAGTTCACAGCTCAGCTTCTCAACCGAATGTTGAAAGCCTGCATGCAGTTAGTGGCACTATTTGCATCCAGTCAGACTTTATTTTCTCATAGTGTCAATTTGCTGCAACGGCGCTTCTTTTGCTGCCCTTTTCTGGGTTGTCTCTCTGTGAACAAGAAGCCATAAGCTCACTTTATACTCTCTATCGATATTGTATGCATACTCATACCTTCACCCCAGTGGATTTGCATTTAGACGTTGCTCACAGCTCACGTTGCCCGTTTTGGGTATGCACTGTGAGCATTACGAGTCCCTCCGTGACTACCCCTTGAGTTGCTGTGGCTCGGTTCCCCTCGTTGCT